CCCCCCCCCCCCAGCATATCCTGGTTTTCAAGTACCCCAGCAGGGATAGGGTTAAGAAGGTGATCATGGAGAACTACATAAATATTCGTTGCTTAGAGAAACTAAGAACTTTGGTTCAAAAAAGTCAAAAATTAGAAAAAACATAAACAAACTTGTGCTTTTTGCCAACAAATAAGTTTGTTCATGGTGATAATTATTTTGTTTAATAGATTTTTTAATACATAAAACCATGTAAACTTTATTCATGAGAGAACAAAAAAAATCAAAAAGAGTGACGTCTTTATTGTTGTGAGACAACATCTAAGAACTTTTGAATCAAAAAAATAAGTTAAAACCTTCCTCAATTTTACTCATATATATTTTGTGAACTTTTGAGATTTGTTTGAAAAAGATTGTATTGAAGACAGATTTGAACTTATTTCGCCAATTCAAAAGTGTTTAACAGAGAAAGTGACATATCTTGCTGGGAACCATGCTTTTTTAGTCCAAAAATTACAGTTTAAATTCTTCCAACTTATGGTTTGAGATTTAACATATAACTACTAGTTCACTTTATTGGCGAATAATGTTTTTGGCATATGTCGAAAAACCAATATAAGGTTAAGAAAATTAAAATACATCAAGAACATTTTTACCATACAAGTTAGGGCCGTGCCTGAGGGGGGTGTGGACCGCGCCCCCATGTTCCCCCCCCCTCTTGAAGGATGAAATGGAAGGAGAACTCGCATGCTTGGCTGCGCTTAAAATTCTCAGTATTCTCGAACCCGTTTTTATATCAAAAGAGCCATTTTGGATGTTTTGCGTCATGTTTTTGATATTGCTAAATATGCTGAATATTTTTTGAATAGTTAAACTTTGCACAATGAGTTAGAAAAACAACTTGACAAAAGTATATTAATTGGTTTCTGCATTTTAATTCATGCTTAAAATGCAATGACGTCTAATAAAATCCCCCTCTTCTTTAAATGTACATGTTAACCTTTATGTTCAATGATGAGGAGTCTGTACAATTCCCCTGAACCCGAAATTTAAAAGAGTATCGTAGAACGAAACTTCCAAGTTTCCTTTGTGTAGACCCCATTCGTGGAACCCAGGTTCTAAAACTGGTTTTTACAACGATACTTCTCAAACTGTTTTTAAAATGGAAACTAGAGGATCTACGGAGTCACAAAGTCGTAGCAGTAATTTTGCATAGACTAAATCTTTTTTGATGTCCAGATTAAAGTGTAGGAATGTTGAGTCAAAATATTTAGTATATCTGTAAGATCTTTAAAATAATCTAAATTATTTTTATTTATTTGTATAATGAACATTAAAGAATGTAAAAAACCAAAATTAAAAATTTTTCAAAAATTAGAACTGAAGAAACAAAGAACTTCAAAAGAAAACAGGTCTTTAAATCCTGTTCTGTACTTGTATAATGCATGTATTCTTGTAAAAACAATAAATAAATATTATTATATCATTAGGCTGAACCTCCTTCAATCCCCTGAAGTCCTTAAGCTGGCAAAAAAAGAGTTAAGGGTTAAAGTTATTTTTATATTGATCAAGTTGAATTTCAACTTCTTGATATTTTAAAGTAAAATTGTATTCATAGTTTTCTATATTTAACTATTATTTAGGTAGATGACATAAGGGTGTCTGAATTGCTCTAAACATCATTTACTTGAAGGAAAGTCCTGCTTTGCTTCACAACTGAAACCAAAAGATTAAACACCCTGGAGACAAAATTTAACGTCTATGGGACAGAGCAGATTATTGTGAGATCTGACAAGGATGATTTACAAGATCTACTGCATTGTTAGAAGAAATCCTGTGGCCGTATTCGACTTATTGAAAATAAATTTTCTTGATAGAATTTCATAAAGGTTCAATGAAATCTGACAGAATCTGAAAAAGGTACAATATAATCTCCTAAAGGGTTTAACAGAATCTAAAAAAGGTTCAATAGAATCTCTTTAAGGTTTGATAGAATCTGATAAATGTTCAATAGAATCTAAAAAGGGTTCTATAGAATCTCATCAGGTTCCGAATAATCTGATAAAGGTTTAATAGAATCTGGTAAGGTTTAATAGAATCTGGTAAGGTTTAATAGAATCTGGTAAGGTTTAAAAGAATCTGGTAAGGTTTAAAAGAATCTGGTAAGGTTCGATAGAATTTGATAATGGTTTGATAAAATTTCCTGAAGGTTCGACAGAACCTGATAGAAGGTTCATGATATGAATTGCATAGTGTGTTTATTTAAGAATTATCTGTAATTTTGATGACTTTTCCATAGCACACTTTTCCATAGAGAGAACACATGGAAATTTACGGGAACTTCTATAGTTCCAGAGACTACATTATCATGGCTACATCAAAGTCAAACTTCAACTTCTGGAAGGGCTCTTCTTGGTAGGAATATTCAAAATTACACTGTATATCATGGTGTTCCTCAAGGGGTTGTATCTTAGGGAGGTTAACATTGTGCATCTTACCCTATTTTTACCTCTGCAGTCGTCTTGAGGTTGACTTTGCTATAATGACAATAGTTTAAATAATTATTTTTAATGAAATATATTCTTCATGTTAATTTTTATAAAGATTCTGTGCTCAGTAAATTCCTACTATTGTCCAGAGCATGAAAATATACTTTTATGGAAGTGTTTCTTATTTTGTACAATAAATGCAACCATGTTATGTAAATGTATTAATTATTTATGTTTTCCTCCAAAAAAAAAAAATGCAATACTTAACAACTAATAATTAATTATGTAAATTTAAAACTTGAGAAATAAATGTCACATTTTCTTCCTATTTAACATTCTAAATCTTTTAGTTTTGCCAAATAAAATTTCAGCAATTACTATCATTAGTTAAAACTATTTGTGAAAAAATGTAAGCAATGTTTAAAAGTGAAAATATATGTTTTACCGGCTTAGGATTATTTAGCGTATAAATAATATGTATTCTTTGAAGTTCATTCTTTAAAAAAAGTATAAAATAGTTATTTCAATCTTTGATTTTATAACCGTGTGTACTTTATTACTCTTTATTCAAAGAAATTGAATTTTTGCCACAAACTCAAATTTTCTAATCCATATATCTTTGCAACCAGATGGTGTAAACGGATGATATTTGATCTAACATATCAAAAGTCAATGTTATCGGGTTGCTAAGATATAGAGGGGAAACAGTAAGAGTTTGTGGCAAAAACTCATTTCCTTTCCTCCCAATTCTAAATATTAACCATCTACTTTCCAATATTGATTAAACACCCTTTTTGAAAGTAGTGATAAAAAGTAAAACATTCTAAAGTTAAAACAATTTGTTTTAATATAATTACTGTCAACTCTAGAAAGAATTTTTGTAAATTTTTTTAAAGTTTTACTCTTAAGCTTTTAACAGTACCCTGTGTACTCTGCATATTTATATATAAATTGAAATCAAGGTTTAAACTATTTTGTATATTTTTCATCCTTGAGTGTATACACATAGGCTTTGACTGTGTTTATAAACTATTGAAATCTAATCTAACAGTCTCCATATTCATTTATATATATTGGTAGATATAGACCCCATTTATGATTTTGATTTTGAAACCATCTACTAAGGAACTGAATACTCGCCACGAACTCATATTCTCAAGTCCCCATTTCTTTGCAACCTGATGGTGTAAACCTTTGATATTTCAAACTATAGTCATAAGGTTTCAAAGATATAAGAATTAGATATTAGAACTTATTATTAACAATTTTCTAACATGGAATTCTGAAAATTTATTTAATCTATCTTTATTTTAGTCAAGTGTAAGTTTTTATTACTGTCCTTATACATTCCTTATAAAACCCAAAATCAGTTTTTAAATAAAAAAATTATTTGGTAACTTTTAATCAACATTAAGTCTCATAAACTGACACTTTTTTAAAGTATTCTATTGTTGTAAATTTCATTCTTCTTTTTCTATCATTCAACACCAGTATCAAGGAGATAGTTTTTTGATAGATTTTTCATCAAACCATAGATAATATAATTTGTTTTTATGTTTCAAAGTGTGATTTTTAAAACTTGAAACTTCTGTGCTCTATTCCTTTTCATTTTATTCAGAACAATTAACAAGAACTTGCTGCATTAAATCCAATTTATTTTTAGAAAAGACAATAATTTAATCAAATTATTAATTTAAAATATTAAGTTACAATAGAATGAACATACATCTCTATATTAATTACAAGTAATTGATACTGAGGCATGATCATAATGTCCATATTGCAGAGGTTCCTCCCTCCAATCTTCTCCCTCTAGAATCTCCAGGCTGTCTTTACCTCCTACACCTCCAAATACTACCAGGTTGTTGTCCAGCACCTCCATTGTTAGCCAGCTTCTCCCCTTGGTCAGCCTAGGTCCATTCCGCCAAGTGTCAGTGAAAGAATTAAATATTTCTACAACATCCATATTTACACCATCGTATCCTCCAGCTGTCCATATTTCTCCCTTAAACATGCTGCATGCTAGTCCTCTCCTAAACAAACAAATATTAAACACAATATTCACAAAATATACTTTTAGAAAGTTTAGTTAAATGTTGTGTTATTTAATATATATGTTTTTTTTCATAAATGCAATTTATCACAAAGGAAATTCCCATTTCTTTGCAACCTGATGGTTTGAACATTTTATTCTCAAATTTGGATAATTTTATCTTGCAGAATTCATTACTTTAAATATTAAAGGTCTTTAACATTGGGTTGCAAAGATATATGAATTAGAAATTGAGAGTTTGTGGCAAAAAATCAATTCCTTTAAAAGAAATAAAAGGTTTTTATATTTAGAAAGCACCAGACAAAGAGTATGAGTATGAAATAAAAACATTTTCAATGATTAATTTATTATTATTATTAAGATTATGAATCGTTGATTAAATTTAAATATTTAAATTCATTAAATCCAATTGTATATTATTGTATATTATTGTATATTATTGTATATTATTGTATGTATTTGTGAGAAGTATTTTCAAACTTATCATCAATTTAAGAATCACACTATTAATATTAGAAAAATCATGAAAAATATAAAATAGAACATATTTAAATGTTTCAGTCTTCAGATATATTTTAGAAAGATTACCTTGCAGTTGGCATTGATGGAAGCTCTGCAATGAATCCCTCTTCAATACTGTAGACTTCAACAAGAGATAAGT